CAGCTGGGTTCAAGGTCTTCTGATAGATCTGAACTTGGATGCTCAAGAACAGTCTGCATTCCCTAAAGACTTGGCGGGAGAGTCACCAGGTCCATTATTGATGGATGACAAAGGGGGAACATAGGCCTCTACCTGATTTTGGAGGAAGCCATGCAGACTGAAGGCCGTGTTGATGACTTGTGGGAGGTCGGCTCAGGATCCAGCAGGCTAATGCCTCCGCCCACTTGTGGTTTACAGATGAAATCATCATGGCTGCCCCACTGAGGATAACGGATGTTACTTCTGGACTGCTAGGGGGAGAAGACGGGCGAGTTTACATTTATAATGGCAAGCACACCACCCTCGGTGACATGACAGGCAAATGCAAATCCTGGATGACTCCATGTCCAGAGGAGAAGGTAAAGGTGGTCTATGGATTCCACTCCATGATGAGGGAGGTCCAGCTGTGGCTCACTCATCTGCCAGGGGTGTGCCGCCTAGCTGCCCATGTGCTTACAGCTGTGCTGGACCTCTGAAGCTGGAGCCCAGTTGGACTTGTTCACAGCTGGCCATGGCCTGATTAGGTACCCAGGGAATGTGGGACTAAAAGCAGGTTCTGGCCACTGGAGTCTCACTAAAACCTACAGCCTTTGGTTTCTTGTTCATTGCTTTGTGTTACTCCTTTCTCTGATGGCTTTCCTACATTTCCAAGCATTTAGCTGGCTATTATTGTTATTATCTTTCTGAAATTTAAAAATTAAGGTGTAGTGGCACATGCCTTTGATCCCAGCACCTAGGAGGTAGAGGCAGTTGGATCTCTGAATTTGAGGCCAGCATGGTTCCCTGTCAGGGCTACAAAGTGAGACCCTATCTCAAAAATAAACCAAAAAAAAATTATTTTTTAAATTGCAAAATGAATTAAAGTTTAGTATGTAGAAGAATGTAGAAATTAGAGAAACACAAGCAAAAGCATTAAAACGAACCTACTTAGACTTCTTCTGTTCTACAGCACTCGCCTGTTAGCCGGAGTACATATTCTAGTATTTTCTACACTTTGAAATGTGACTGTTGTGGGGGCTGGGGCTGAACCTAAACAGCAGGGTCTTCCTATGTAGACGTGTCTGGCCTGGAACTTGTGGTAGTGCCCCTGCCTCCGCTTCACTGGTGCAGAGATTACAGGCTAGCGGTGCTTTGTCCTACTGAGTGTGCACACAATAAACACCCTGTGTGGCCGAATCCACCTCAAAGCTGTGAAGCTGCTTTGATGCCAGTGACAGAGAGCCTGAAGGACAGAGGGTTTCTGTTCAAGTCACACAGCAAATGGCAGCCAGGGCGGGAGCTGAGCTAAGACCCATTTCTCAAACTTGTTAACCAATGTGATCACATCATGTGTGATTTTTTTCATAATTTTTAACTTGATTTTTTTTTTTTTTTAAGTAGAGTCCAGGCTGGCCTCAAACTCCTGATCTTCCCGCCTCTCCCTCCCAAGTGCTGATTTTCATCAAACAGTACGCATGTTGAGCATCCCCAGTTTGAAATCTGAGATGCTGCAAAAGCTTAGGCTTCCTGAGAGCTGACATGTTACGAGTGGAAATTGTACAATAGAGGGCTGGTCTTATGTATAAAGTCATTAGCACACTGTACAGAACTGTCGTGCTATGGGTGTAAGATATTTCCTCTGTTTAGTCTCAGGCCCATCTCTGGAGATCTCACTATGTCTCTATAGATACTCCAGAATCAGCAAGATCCCAAATCCAAACTTCCGGGCCCAGGCATTCTGGATAAGGAGTATTCATTATATGTCGAGACCATTGCTGGGCCAGTGAGGTGGCTCAGTGGGTAAAGGAGGCTGCTGCCAAGCCTGAGGGTCTAGAACCCACATGGTAGGAGGGAACCTACTCTCAAAAGTTGCCCTCTGACCTCCACATGCATGCCCTGGCACATGTGTATGCACAAAACCAAAAACCAGATAGCACCTTATGGGAAAAAAGTTCACATTGTTCTAGAGGGGTATGGGGTATCGTGGTAATCCTGTAATCCTAGCACCCCAGAGGGAGAGGCAGGAGGATTAGGAAGCCTGGATTACAGGGGGGCCTGCTGAGATGGGGTGGGGCGGGGTTCTGTTATCTGCCAACTATTTTATCTTGGAATAAATCCATTTAACTGACCTTCCTGAAGTGGTAATCATTAGTCACTTTGGCTGATTCTATTATAATTCCCATGTAAATGATTTCGTACAATGGCTTATGTTTTAGTATCTAAGCTCCTATAAATGGAATTTCTAGGGTTTAAGGGCATTCATACTTGTAAGGAGAATCTGGAAACACTGAAATGTGAGCACGAGGCAGTCAGATGGCTCTTAATGAACAGTGATCATAAAGTCATGCTAACAGTCTCCTCCCTGCTCTCCTTTTTTCCAGGCACAGTATGTATTGATTTCTCCTGAGGTAAGTAGTCCACCTCCAAAGTCTGATCACCCCCCCCAACCCCCAGCTCCTTGTACTTACTTCAGCTGCTAAACAACCATGCTGTGTGTGTTTTACAGGCAGGTTCAAGGTTTGGGAGCTCGCTGGTGTCTGTGAGGTCCAAGCAAAGGGTGAGTAAAGGACCCGTGCTTTCACCAGACCTGATAATCTCATTTCTTCAGTTTTAGGGAAAAAAAGTAGCACTTGAACTCACCCCCACTTCTCAGTGCCCCCCTTCACTCCTACTCTACAGTGTGTAGCCTGTGGGCCAACTACATCTGACTTTAAAATATGGCTGTCATATTTAAATAGTGGAAAAAAGAGAATTTTTCCTGACATGGCATTTTTACAAAGTTCCAATTTCAGGGTCCATGACTCAAGGGTGTTCATTACTCGGTACCGAGGACGCAGCCTGGCACTTCGCACATGCTCACCCATTCCTGATCTGGCTGTGGCTGTTAACATTGCAACTGCAGCTTCTGAGACTGAGTTCTCCTCCAGTCTCAGATAGCATCTGGCCCTTCATGACCTTTGCTGATTGTCGCCCTCCATGACAGCCTCTGTTAATTAAGATTCTGCTGTCTTTGTCCAGACTGCTGGGTTTTGAAATGTTTATTCTCTGTGTTACATGTATGTTTATGTGCCACAGTACACTTACTTGTGGTACTCAGGACCACATGAGAACTTTGGTTCTCTTCTCCCACCATTCGGGTACCAGAGACTGAATGAAGGGTGGCAGGCTGGGCAGCAAGCACCCTGACTTGATGAGCAACATCCTGGGCTGCCCTGTCCAGTCTTTAAATGAGTCTAGACAGACACACATGCCACCATGGCTCCATTTTTATGCACCTTCACTTCTTATCGAATAAGCACACAGCACCATTTACTCCTTCCCAGGAGTCACACAGTATTTTATTCTCTGGACATTCCATAATTCAGTTCAATTGCATTCCCATACTTACATTATTTCCATTTTTAAAAACTATTACAGACAATGCTGTTTTGAGCATTCTTATAACTGTATTTTTTTTTTTACATAATTGTGCAAATATCCTTGTGAGAAACACAGCAGTGGGACTGCTAGAGGATACATACATTTAACATTACATTTTAATAAATATAGAATTAAGAAATTCACCTTAATATATAACTCTACAGAGCCAGGTGTGGTAGGTAGCTCATGCCTGTAATCCCAGCATATGAGAAGCTGAGGTAGGAGTCTGAGGCCAGGCTAGCCTGGGTTAGAATGAGACCCTGCCTCAAAACAAAGAAACCAAACTAAACCACTAAACTTGAGGATTTGGTGTCACAGCATTGTGCTAGGTTATAAAATACAGAGACGAGACAGTCACTGCTCTGGAAGACACACAGGGAAGGCAGGTCCGTGAGACTGGCATAGGACTACAGGCAGAATGAGCAGGAGTCCTAAGTGTTGGAAGACAGCAGCAGTCTGGGAAGGCCTGGGAGGTGCTGGGATGCAGGGCCTGCTTGAGACTCATGGTGAAACTGCCCTCTGCTGGCCAAGTGTTCTCGCTGACACAGCAAGGTTGATGAATAGGGCTAGCTACTAGAAACAGCAATACTCAAGTTACAGGAGGATTCTCCAGAGGATACACGGGGCTTTCATTTACAATTTTATGCATCTTCAAAAAAATTAAGACATTATCAAGAACACCGACCAAGGGCAGTGGTGGTGATAAAGGCCAGATGAAAGTACTTCACAGTTAATTCTGGTCTGTGCGTCTCTCCAAATTAGCCTAACTGCGGTTCACCTGTATCAGTACTAACATCCCTCCCTTTCCTGACTCACCCTGAGACAGTGCATTAAGGCTCAGTGAGCATAAAACATCAGAGTGGCCTGTCCCTGAGACCTGAATTAGGACTCTCAAGACAGGTTTCCCTCCTAGGACACACGAACCTTGTGGGATTGGCAGTCTGGAGACATACCTAAGGAACAAACACTGGCACTGTCTCTGTGCTTTCTTAAGACTGCCCATGTCATGTGGTGAGCCTCAGCAGAACCTTTAACTGTGGTGCTTCCCTGGGCAGCCGAGAGGTAGATGGAACAGTGAGACATGGCCTCGTCTCCCGCTCACAGTGGAGGTGAAGGACAAAAAGCAGCCAAGACCTTTGACATCGATGTACAATGACCAGGGCTAAAGACAGTGGCTGTCTGTGCTGGCTAGGTCTAGGAGGCCTTGCAGAACCTATGGGCCTGGAGGGGGCATGTGAGATGGTTAGACTGGGAGATGGTGGGCAGCCAGGAAGGGTTAACTTTAGGGAGGCGCACGCTTTGCCCAGGAAATGGAGACTTAGAATATAGCCAAAGTAAAAGCACATTTAATAAACTAGTAATTACATAAATAAGGGAAAAGAAATTACCATTTGTTACTGCAAAGATTTTCTCTTTTGCCAACACTGGGGTATTAGGATGTACCAGGAAGAGCTCCACATAGAATTTGACGCATGGTAAGGGCTCAGTACATTGCCGCCATTATCATCGTTTTGGGATTGTTGTGTTAAAATGAAACCAACAAGATCAATGCCATAGCCTGCTTCGTCTAAAATGCTAGCCGCCAGCATGACCAGCCACACTTCACTTACCAGTAATGATTTAAAGTAACTTTTGGCAACTCTCCCAAATCAAATTTAACCGCAAACTGTGAAGATTTTGCCTTTACTAAAATGTTTCACAACCTGCAGCAGATTTTGAAAAAAATTCTGGAAGATGGGCCTGAAAACATTAGGCAGCAGGGATGCTGTGTGAATGTAGCCCCTTGCAAGTCCTTACCACTCCAGATGCATGGTCTACATCGTACCACATGAGGTTCTGGAATAAGCACACACTCGTGTATTTCCCATTGTTTGTTTGTTTGTAATTACAAGAGGCAGAGGCTGGGGTCAACTTCCACAACTGTGGTTTTCAGAACTTACAAATCAAGAAAGTGGTGTCTGAGCAAAGGGAGAGGCCTAAGTTGGAGCTATGGGGGTCTGGCCAGCATCGCTTTCCTAGGCATCTCCAGAGCACGGCAGGTCTGCTTTAGGGTGGGGATTTGTCAGGAATGCTGTCTCTGTTGTGTCTTCTACAGAACCAAGTAGTTGTCGCTGCTGGAAGAAGTTCTTGGGGAGCCCGGCTCTCCGGGGCACTTCACGTCTACAGCCTCGGCTCAGACTGAAGAGGTCACTCCACTCTCCTATTCCACCCCTCCAGTGGAGATGTGGTGAAACCCTTACAGGGGTGGGGCTCCTGGGACAGACATACTGACAGCCAAGTTACCTGGAAATATGGCCAGCTGTGTGTGGACACGGGATGATGGGGAGCGGCAGGCACTTTGCATCTTCTAAAAAACGCTTTTGCATCTTCTCTGAGCTTCCTGCCTGTGCTTGGGATTGTAACAATTCACCCTTCCTCCCCTTCTGTTTAAATACCCGTCTCTCCCTTGCCTAGAAAGGGTGCAGTGAGCTCTCAACACAGTCTCTAAATCCTTGTTAGTGGTGGCTGGTCCTATTTGGATCTTAAATGTGCCTCAAAATCCCCATGTTGAAGGCTTGCCCCCAGCTGAAGGAGGGTGGAGATTTTGGAGTGGGACCTTGTCGGGGGAAGTTAAGCCATTGGGGTGTATCAGGACCCCAAGTCCGTCTTTCCTTGTCTGTTTCCCAGCTGCCATGCAAAGAACAGCTCTCCTCTGCCATGCTGTACTGCTTCTTCCCCAGCCCCAAAGCAGCAGGGTAAAGCACCCTGGAGCTAACATGGCTGCAACTGTGAGCCCAAATAAACATTTCCTCTTCAGAAGCTGTTTCTTGTGGGCATTTCTGTCATACCGACGGCACAGTACACAGTGAAAACACCGTGGGGAGGAGAGAGAACGGCTGGGGCACAGGGCCCCCACCCTGGCCCCTCCTCAGTGACCATTTAGAAGGAGCACCACAGAAACCAAAGTTCCACGAGCCACCTCGTGCGTGCCTCACAGGTCTGTGCAGCTGGCTGTTGCACCAGTGTGGTTAAGTCTCACAGGAGGGGGACATGGGGGGGCGTTGCTGTGCTGGGCTGCCAGCGCCATCAACAGAGCAGGAAGGAGTGTGGCCTGAGCCCAGGGTGACTGTAAGGGACCAGTGAGGAACCCAGTGGCAGGTGGGCTGTGGCTTCGCCTGTTCTTGGCCCATTCTTTAGGGTGGATTCTGTGCTCCATCCCCAGGGTGGCTTCAGGAGAAATTCACCACCAGCACTTAGACCTGCTAACAGTGACTGGCTGGTTCTGTGTCAGCCAAGGGAGATACTGTTCCTCCTGACCCTGGGAAATGATATCAAAAGCAGAAGGAAATGGGTGACAATACCAACCAGAGAGAAAACACTGCAGAGGATGAGGAAGAGTCCAACAGAGGAAGGACTCCATTGAGACGACCCACAGGGGAGAAAGGGGACAGTTCACACTCACCCCAGAAGGCACCGCTCATGCTCCAGGCTGGCGTTTTGAGTGTGCGCGATACAGCCCAAGACATGGCAGGAGGAGAACACAGGGACATTTGGTTTTGCTTGGATAGTAACTGGCAGTTCAACCTATCTGAAGAACACTACCAGCAGAAGGGTTATTGTTTTGCCACTGTGATAGCCAATCAGCAAACGTGAACAGCAGGGCTAAACCCAGGGCCTTGTGCACACCAGGCGTGGGCTTCCCCAACCCTGAGCTGATGCTCTGGCCCAAAGTGCCAGGGCTTTTGCTCTACCTGATGAGAGCTGGCCACAGAATTTGTCTTTGGCTCAATGTCTGAACATAGCAGATAGCAGGCTCCGGGTAAAGGGAGCCAAAAGCTTATGGAGATGGGACATCTTCAAGCTGAAGGACTGTCCTACTGACAGGTCTAACATGGTGACATTGTAGCACACTGACTTCTGTGAGAAGCAGGTCAGTGCTGTACCACTTTTGAAGGTCAGCCTATGAAGAATACTGACCTGAGATAGAGGAAACATTAGCACACGACAGTCTGAATATTATCCTCAACAGGTGGATTAAAATTTCCTTCCACCAAGCATTAACTGAGGTTCTAAGAAACAGCCCCACAATGCTTAGAAACTCAAGTGGAGGTAACGAAAACAACACTAACTGATTCAACTGTTTAGCGTGGTGATCTTTACCAAGACACCAACAGACATTTATATACTGGTTTTCTAGCTCTCTCTCTGTACATTTTCAAGGCTTCATGATAGGAATTGCTTTATGCCTTATTGTCCCAGACTATAAAGTTAGAATGATTGGAGGTGGGCTTTTGGTAGAGAGCTCAGGTCCCTGGACCCCAATTCCATCCCTCCATGAGACCACCTCTGTGGCCATTACTCAAGTTATTACGCTAAAGTTCAAATGTAGCTTCAGTGATGCCATTCCAAGAAATAAAGCTGAGCGCAGCTCCTGGGCCCCGTCACACAAACAGCCTGTCAGCCTGAGTCGGTCAGAGCTTCTTCCAGTCTGTGGTCATGAGGATGACCTCTGCTCTGTCCACATTGGCTCATAGGCTCTGAACGTAAGGATAGACTGTCAAAAAGTATCACACCCCTTGCTCGATGTGGGATGTGACTGCTTGCTCAATTATAAAATCCCTACCTGACCTAACCATCTTTAAAAATTTTACAAACTGCCAGTTCTGTCCTTTTATCTGACTGATAGGAGGTACACGATTCATCAAACAATTACTTTACTCAAGCTCATAAACTAACACAAGGAGAAAACGATATTTGATCCTCTCTGACCTGGGATCAAATGGACTTCAATTCTTCATGGATCTCAGCTGAGCAAAATCCAGTCTAAGACCAATCACGGCAGCTCTTGGGTCTGCTGAAAAGGGCTACCGTGGAACCCAGGCATCATCAAAGATGATCTTGGACACTATCAAAAGATTCAGCTGCTACAGTTCCTCGAGGGTCCTATTCCAGCATCTCATGGCTGGGACACCAGGCCAGCTCCGCTGCCCTGGACCAGCATCTCACAGCCCCACGCAGGAGGGAAGCTCACTTATAACTTTCTCTTTTCCACTGGAATAACATTCTTATTCCTGTCACTAAATTACCCAGCAAATAACCCCGACATCCTCATGGGACACACTAAGGGAACTGGGCACACAACATCTGGGGTGGGTATACTTCCTTTTTGTTCATACCTTGTAGGCTGAGAGTTGCCTGGCTTTACTACAATCTTACAAGTGCACTACTTTTGGAAGCACACTTAACTGTAATGTTCGAGCACACAACTTAATGAAACCTCTAGAAAATACACAGAAGTAGCAGAATGGTTAGTAGGATGGCAGCTTTCAGATTTACAGGTATCAACAATCTGGTTATTTACTGTGCAGTTCTAGGGAGTTGACTGCACAGCTTTGTTCGTGCTGGGTGAGCACTAACAATGAGCAGCGCTCCCAGCCCCATTTATCTGGCGTTTTGAGGCAAGGTCTTACTCTACAGTCCAGGTGGGCCTGGAACTCACTCTATGACCTCTACTGGCCTAGAACTCACTCTGTAGCCCAGGCTGGCCCCTAACTCTTCACAATCCTCCTGCTGCAGTCTTTCAAGGACTGGAGTTACAGGTGAAGCACCAACCATGTCCTGCTTTGCCGTTCATTTTAAACGCAAACTTCTGATTATGAAGATAATGCTCCTACCATTCTTACATTAACTATCCTTGTTTGACAAGCTCATCTGCTAACTTTGGAGAGGTAGGCAAACAGATTAGCTGGCTGTAAACATTTTCAGGAGTCGGGGAGACACAATCTCTTAAATCAAGTAGTGATCAAAACAGTTATAAAATTGTAAGAATAAACACGTTCTTTCAACTTTACTTCCAAAGGGTCTATTTATAACCAATCAATAATACCATCTTGATTAACCAGAATCCACGTATGTTGACATTAAATTATATTTCCTTTTTATTTATCTTATATATAAAAGAGAGCAAATACCTGAAAATAAGGTTGTCAAGGACTGACATTCCCGAGTTCATTGCAAGGCTAACAGATCTGCCAGCTTTCTTTCCCACGTCTGAGGAACTGCAGCCGGTGAGCTCAGGGACTACAGGCTCTGTCAAGTTGCTGGGCTCCATCAGCACAGAGCTGTACTTTTCCTGATATGTTTAACAGTACTGAATCTAGAGAAGTCTATCTCGCAATAAATTAATCTATACTTTAAAAAGCCCATAAAAACAGTATTCAAGGTTGGTAGGACACAGGATTTTGGCCTTTTACAAAGAAAGCACTTTGCCTCCCAGAATTCTGAAGACGCATCGTGTTTTAGTATCGTGAATGCCGCAGTATTTTAAGTCAGACATAATTTAAACAGCGGTCGTCTTTTTCTCCCCCGGAGAGCGGTAATAGCTCCAGAAGCATACAGATCTTTGTCTGCAGCTGCTGTTAGCGGCTTGCCAGGACAGTCCTGCTGGCTCCGAGTCCGTCCGGCCTGAGGCTGTTTTTCACTTCCATCCTTCTGTCTGCCAGAAGGGTCTTTTTAGGTAAGGAGGCCATCTAAATAAAGCAGGAAATGCATTTCAGTTTGTGTCTCTCTCAGAAGTCACAGACAGAGGAAAGCGGAGGACTACACACAGGCCGGAGCCTACGCACCTGCTCCAGCCATGCTGTTCCACATGCATGGGAGGAGAGGAGGTGAAGCGCTCACACGCTCCTGGAGCGCTGCTGCATTTCAGCATGGTTAGGGAAGCCCTGCAGCGTGACGAGCATCTGCCTTAATGGATGATTCTTGCCAGCGTTCTAAGAAACCAAGTAATGTCTAACTGATTTGTTGTGTTGGACACTGCTATGCATTTCAGCTCACTTAACTTTCAAATAATATGAAGCACACAGCGCTGACCGGATTAACAGGAGGAAAGTGAGGAGCGTTAGAAAAATCAACTCACTCGCACAGGGTTACAAAGCCCGTGACAACTGAAACCCAGGCTGCCTGACTGGGGGCCCAGGATTGCGGTCCACAGCAGGGCTGCTGTGAGTGCCCAGTCCGTACCATAGGGGGCAAAGGAGCTTCTAGCTGTCTGCCGAGGAACGAAAGCAACCTCCTCCAGATGAGGCCACTCCCCATAAACATAATTCCTGTAATCAGCCAGAACACACGATGGTCCTGAAAGAAAAAAAGGGTTCATTCCAATCACAAAGGTTAGTCTCTTCAGAGACACACTCTCCTCCAGAGCTAAAAGGAGCCTTTCTGTTATCACAGGGCTCTTCCATATAAAGAGCAGGGAACTAGGCCTGCAGCGAAGCCCTGAGGCCAAGTCCAGGGGCGACCACGCCTACCTCAAGTGTCTCACACCTGGGTTCTTCTGTACCTAGGACTGCACATGATGCTGTACCAGAAAGGGTACCACGAAGGCAAGGCTTTGCTGCCAGACTGGCTCTCGAGTTCCTGACTCAGGAGATCTACTGCCGCCTCCCACCCAAGAGCTGAGTCTACAGGTGTACACTACCACACCTGGATCAAAAGGGAATTCAACAAAACCAGACCAGTTTTCTTGGGGGAGGGGGAGAGGGATAGGCTTTGAGTAAGAATATTAGCATTAAGCATAAAACAGAGTTAGCTTGGGTTAGATGAGTTGGTTATCCCATCTCAACTCCTTGGGACCAAAACATGTTTCAGTTTATGTATTTATAATAATGATTGGGAAAATAGGAAGGAAGCACCATTCTAACATTAACTGTCCTCTGTTTTACAAGCCCAGCCACTAACTTTTGAAAGGCAGGAATAGTTAGTTGTATACGTTTTTCCTTGGTGGACATGTGACATAACAATGGTATTTTCTTTTGAAGTCTATGGTATTTTCTTTTGAAGTCTAAAGAAAAAACATCTCACATGCACCTAATATATGTATATTAGTCCAAAGATAATTTCATGGGACACTTTTAGTGTACCCACATCTTGACTGAGCCACAACAGACCAGCTATGGACTTTTCCACATCAATGTAGTATGACTGGCCTTCAAAATGTTTACAATTATGAGGAATTTCGCACCTCATATTTTCAGGTTACTACCAACATATGGACACAGCATGATTCTTAACAAAAGCTACAACCCCAGGGGGGGATAGGAGTGAACTGGGCAACAAGGCTGGGAGCTGAGGGGAGAGCTGTGGCCAGCATTTCTGAGAACGAACCAGGGCATAGCTGACAAACAAGAGTGGCTACAGATGTCTGAGGCGAGTCCAGGGAAAGTGACTAGATTAGATATCCACAGACCTGGGAGTCTGGACTATCCTAAGGCCGCTCAGAAGGCACCGGAGTATCTCTATGTAGAAGTCTGAGATAGTTTTTAAAAGACCACTTTTCACAAATGTGTGGTCCTGAGAGAAGATGTTGGTTAGACCACAGTGACAGCCACAGAAGCAATAAACCACAGAGGACAGAGGGCCAAACATCAAAGTGCCTTGTGAGACCGCTCCCCAAAACACCAGGCTACAGTGGTTTCAGAAACCCTGGCATTATATGGAAAGGCAAGAGGGCAGAGTGGAAAGCATTTATCTTTGGGTTGAAATCCTCTGGTTTTATAGATCTGCAATTTACTAAGTTTTCTGAGTCTCTATTTCCTCATCTACAAAGTAGGGAAACTGTCTGTTTCAGAGTTGTGATTACTGCATCAAACACGCCCTATGTATGTGAATCCCGGGTACAGGGCCAGACACACAGAACGGAAAATAAAATCTCCCATCACCACTGCCTCACAGGGTGGCTGTTTTAGTCAGTTTCTCCTGTGTACTGCCATGTTCTAGGAAATAAAGTGATGTAGGCTACAGTCACAGCTACACACAGGGGCCAACAGTAACTGCCTGAGTTCTAAGTGAATTACAGCCGTGTCAAAGAACTCTTTATGGAATATGCAGACGTGGTGGCTAATCTTCATTGTTAACTTCACGAGACTTGGAATCCCCCAGGAATCACAGATCTGTGAGGGTATTTCCAAGAGGAGAGTGTGCTTCCTGACCGTGGCCGGTGTGATTGGGAGGCCTCATGCTTTGCCACCTTGCCTTTCCTGTCTCGCTGGACCATGACTCCTTTAAACTGTGAGCCAAAGTAAGTATTCCGTTCTTTCTGTCGCCTTTGCAGGCACTTTGTCTTCAAAAAAACTCTTCTAATCATCTCAACATTAAAAAGTAAAATAAAATCCTGCTATTTAAAACATGACATTCTTCCTGGGCTACCAAGTGAGTTCCAGGAAAGGCGCAAAGCTACACAGAGAAACCCTGTCTCGAAAAACCAAAAAAAAAAAAAGACATTCTTACCTCTTCAAGGGAAGATTCCAAATTCATGCCAAAAGCAACTCCCATTAGTCCAAAGAGGGAAAGAGAGAAGGTTCCCATGGTTAGCTGGAGATTTAACCTCATCATCACATTGCGGTGGCTGGAGAAAACAACCAACTCAGACCAGGAAACACACAAACGAGCAAAACCGAGAGAAGGCCTACGGGGTCACTCTCCGCCTTCAAAAGCAACTCCTGAGATGATTAATATTGTAACTTGACAAGATTTGGAATCACCACAGAAACAAACCTCCTCACTGAGGTGGAAAGGCCCACCCTCACCATTGGTGGCACCATTCCCTGGCTGGGGACTTGGTTCCTGACAGGACACATGAACAGATACGTCAAGTTTTTGCCCTCGTTGTCAGACTGTGAGTGCAAATGAACCATGCATTCCTTCAGTGGCTTTTGCCAGGCATTAGGAAACTAAGAATAAGGCCACTTATGGAGTAGTCACAGATGTGATGGTGTGACTTCTTCCAAAAACCCACTCCTTTAAAAGTGCTTTCCAGTCCTAAGCCCAGTCCTCACCACCTCCTGTAGGGCATCCTCACCTGTCTAGATTGATGAAGATGATGCTCTGCGAGTCGTCAATCAGGACCCGAAGCTCCCGAGCCTCGTTGGAAAGGTCGTCAGCTAACCGGTAGTAGTTTTCAAGCAGCAGCTCCATCTCCTCTGCATGGTCAATCCCAGCGCTGCTCTTCTCACTTCAAGTCACAGGGTCAACAGTCAGCAGACCTGAGCATGTCCAGCACACACTGACCCCCAACTTCAGCAGCCAGTGAGAAAGCCAGCTTATTGCATCTGCTGTAATTGTATCCAATTTGTTAGAGGCTATGCCAACAGATCCTAAGCATGATGCACTCAGCCTACACAGATGACTTAGCATCACTGTGCTCCATGGCCCCAATCCAAAAGAGGCATGTAATCACATGCCATTAGTGACCAGAAAATACAAAGGTGAATACTGATGAGAAAGTGCAAATCCTAGGCCATTATGAAGCACAAGAAAACTCAGACTAAATTGAAAAGATCATTTCCTGGGGCTGGAGAGATGTCTCAGTGGTTAAGGATACTGGCTGCTCTTCCAGATGACTGAGTTTCATTTCCAGTACCCACATGGTGGCTCAACACCATCCAGAACTCCAGTTCTGGGAGATCTAATGCCCTCTCTGGCCTCTGTGGGCACCAAACATGTAAGTGGTACACAGACATACATGCAGGCCAAACATCTATACACATTAAAAAGAGCATTTCCCTTAGGATACAATCAAATACAGCAGCAGCCAGTTTCCCCTCTCCCTGGCTGAGTGAGCAGAGGACTCACTGCTGACATCTGCTTCCCTGAGCACGTCCTAGTGCTGGGAAGCTGTGATGCACTACACCAGGCTTCTCCTTTGCTGCCTGGGAGAAGCATTCAGTAAATGTGAATGACACTGAGCCTTGCTATCTCTACTCTGGCAAGTTTGTACACATTAAGCGTCGGGCAGACAGGGTTGTGTGTTTTGTCTTGGGGGAATTAAAAAAAAGGAACTTTTTTATTATTGTGTTTATGGTGTGTGTGTGTACGGCGCACGTGTGGAGGTCAGAGGACAACTGTGGCGTTGGTTCTTTCACTTTGCATGCCCTCAAGTGGCCTGCACAGAGCACTTTCACGTGCCGGGCCACCTCACCGGCCCCTTTCCTTGCTTTTCAATGCTTCTCAGCTAATGAAGAGCATGAGTACTGAGAACCATACCACGGTCGACCGGAGCAGATTCAAGTCTCCAGTGACTTTTAAATGCATTTAGTATTATAGATCAGATGGTGAGTTTCACACATGCTTCTGGAACCGGCTTTATAATATATAGCAGTGACTAGGCTCCATTAGAGCTGTTTCTGAAAAGCAAATGTCTGGCTCACCCCCCTCTCCTCTACCAGGCAACTATTGCCCTTGCTCCCTAGGAAACCCATCTCATCTCACACATGTTGCTTAGTGACCCATCCCTTGAGGATAATCGTGATGTTTATGATCTCCTCAGCCCAGCAGCTGCAATGCAGTGTGCACTCCCTTCAGCCTCACTGAGCTGGGCCGTGTGTAAGACAAAGTGACTGAGGGTGAAAAATGCCCGTTCACTATTTTAGACAAACACAGCCTCACCCGAAGGGAGAAACACCACAAGGCAATACTTACAAGACCTGGGGGTCACTCCACTTGGTTAGACAGAGTTCTTCCAGCATCTCCTCATCATCCAAAAGCTCCAAAATCGACTCTTTGAAAATTTTAATGTCTGTTTCTAACTCAGAGAGACTGTAAGAATAGTTACATAACAAAGGTCAGCAGTGTAAATGTGCACCATTTCGCTGTAAGAACAATGTGTTTAGGGCATCTTACAAGTGGATCCACCTAGCACTCAGCGTCCACTGGTAAAAACATTTCAACAATTAACGCAAATTAACGACCCCAAACCCAAACCAACTGGTAAGATTAGCCAGTGACACAGCTCTCTAATGATTTTGTGGCTTTAAAGGTTATGTCATTCTAGAAATGTACAGGTTAAGGTAAGATGCTTGAGTATGCATCCTCAGCTGAGATCTTCTCTGTGATGAACTAAAGCAGAAGGTGGGTGAAGAGGCGCACTGGGAGGGTTAGCAGTAAGTAGTCACCGGCCGGAAAGTCAAAGGAATCCACGACACACAGGTCAGGAGGGGTTACAGCAAGGTTCCTATCTTGCTTGTCAGATGCATGTGAGGAGGGGTAGCGACAGGCCGTTTCATTTCTTCTGTGGGCTCTGAATGTTGACCCAAGGACCTTGTTCGTGACAGGCAAGGGCTCTTTCAGATTCCTTACACCCCACCTCCCCATGACCCTTTTGAGAGAGGGCATCACTCTGTAGCCTAAACTGGCCTTCAACTTGAGGCAATCCTCCTGCCTTAGACTGCTGAGTGCTGGGATTACATGCGAGGTACCATACCCAGCTTTGAGTGTGGCATGGACCGCATGGCAACCATTGCTGCTTGACAAAGTTCCAGCATTTCGACACCGCAGATCACGCTTCTCCAGCACCTTTACTTTCATTTTTAATGATTCTCACTATCAAAGCCTGTCCCTTTGGGAAATTTTGTGTGCGCTTTGGTAAAGGACAAAAATGTGAACGATGGTAGCCTCTCTAAACAAAATAATTCTCTGAAAAAAAAAAAAATCCCCGACACCATGGAACCAGGAATTCCATTGTGCCCTCCTAATTACACCAAGAACAGGAAAGTTAGAGATTTACTAGACACACCTGATCCCAAGAAAGAAAGGCCTATGATTCATAGCCAGAGCCTGAGGCCATTAAAGGCAAGAGTTCAGTTAATAAACACAGAGAAATCAGAATGGTACAGTGTAATGGGAAGAGTAAGACATCAGGACCTTCCCTTTGGGGAGTGTTATGAGGGGAACAGGCCCATACAGTAAGACTAAGAAATAGTATGTCTGCTCCCCCAAACAAGTCCTTTTCCCAAGGTCAAACATTTGGACAAAGGTCTCCATACCCTCTTGGCCTTGAGGAAAGCTCCTGCTTGATAAAGCAGTCATTCTTATCTCTAACTAGAGGAATATGACTGGTGCCTATTGTCAAGGTCAACGCCGGACTCCTCAACTCCTAATCTCAAGCCACACCTCAGCTCACATGCCCCTTGTCTCTAGTTTAATCCTATGTGCAATTTAAAGTACAAAGGGTATAGTCACTTTTCAATTAAGCAATGCTGGCAGCCATCCTGATTCATCCTCAGACGGTGTCTGTGTGGCTCCTCCCCAACCCCATCCTCTTTGGGACCTGAACCACCAAATCAGGTCTCTAGCGTGAGGATTCTTTCAAAAAATTAATTATTTTTTATTGAGGTGTCTATGTGTGTGCCTATGCCATATGTGTGCATGTGCCTGTAGAAGACAGAACGTTGCTTCCTGGAGCTGGAGTTACAGGTGGTTATGGACCACCAAATCTGGGTGCTGTGAATGGAACTCAGGTCCTCAGAAAGAGCATCGTATTAACCACTGAACCATCTCTCCAGCCTGGAGCTTATTTATAACTGATAAAAGTACTTCAACATTAGACAAACAACAAACTCTTTTAAAACTTTAACGGGAGATGGGGGCTTAAGGGACAGATGGCCGGGCAGTTCAGATCACTGGCTGCTCTTGCAGAGGACCTGAGTTTGGCTCCCAGAACCAACATGGTAGTTATCATTTGTAACTTCAACTCCAGGGGATCCTATGTCTTCACCCCTCCACAGGCACTAGGCACACACACGGTCTACATACATACATGCAGGCAAAACTCATAAAGATAAAATAAATAAATCTGCAAAAAAACCAACCAAACAAACAAACAAAAAAATTGGGGCCAATAAGAAGGTTCAAGAAAGTCAAGGCGCCTGTTGCCTGATGACCTATGTTCAATCTGTGGGATTCATCGTGGAAGTAGAGAACTGATTCTACCAAGTTGTCCTGACCCCCGCACGTGCACATCCCCACCCCCCCCACCCCCTACCCCGACACATAGAATAATAAAAACTAAGAACATTTATATTGGCTTTCTGAGCCGGTGAGATGGCTCAGCAGGTGGAGGCACTCACCACCAAACCTAAACCCCTGAATTACTTCATGTCATAATTTAAATAAATATACTCTGAGATTTGCATTCCCCAACTTTTCTTGAAACTTTAGCAGTTAAGGGCTGTGGCTGTCTGTGGCTGTGGCTCAGTGGTATAATCCTGGCATGTATGAGGCTATGGGTTCAGTCCCCAGCACAACGGAAAAAAATGTTCAGAGTTAAAACTTGATGTGGGGGAGGGGTGTGACTGTTAGAGATGGCTCAGTGGTTAAGGGCACACACTGTTGTCCCAGAGAACCCGTGTGGTTCTCAGCACTCAAAAGCTGTGTGTGTGCTGGGGTGGGGGGTGCCCTTAACCACTAAGCCATCTTTCTTAACAATCACACTCCTTCCCCACATCAAGTTTTAACTGTCAAGGTTTTGAACATTTTTCTGTGGTGCTGGGAACTGAACCCAGGGCCTCATATACACCAGGTAAGCACTCTACCACTGAGACACAGCCACAGCCCTTAACTGTTAAATTTTCAAGAAAAGTTGGGGAGTATAAATCTCAGAGTATATTTATTTAAATTATGACACATGGAAAGCTGTTACCATTAACAAAGAAGAATCACTTAGGTTCACATGCGCATACCTTAACCATCTCTCTGTAGGCATCAGCCAGAGAGAACTGAAGGTGTCTGTCTCTACCTCCCAGCTTGACAAGCCACCCATATTTACCTTTTGCCATTCTGGAGTAGGACATGCAGCTTGCTTCTGTCAACAGAAGAGTGCTTGGGGTCCACTAATGCATCCAGGGTCTCAAGGATCAGGGGCTGCAGGATGCTGAGTTGCCCCTGGAGGTTGTTGATCTAGATAACAACATGGCCTTTCATAAGAATTAAAACAACCTTTTTAGAACTTAGGGTCAGTGAAGCCTCTGATTAAACACAGACATTTGTGCTAGCCAAACATACTGCCAGCATCTCAGAAGCTGTTCTAGATGCCTCAAAAGCTGTATCTCCTGGGTTAGAGGAGCACCATGTAACGCTGTCACCAGGCTCTGGATTAACTCTCAGACAGTTTTCCTCTACAGACAGCTGCTATGGTAGGACTAGGGAATGATTTGTTAATGACATCCTGGGGACTGGAGAAATGGCTCAGTGGTTAAGAACACTTCCTGCTCTTCTAGAGGACCAGAATTTGGTTCCCAATAACCATGTTGGGCAGCTCACAACTGTAACTCCAGCTCCGGGAGATCCAACACCCCCTGGACTCTGCTGGCACCTACATACATGTGCATACACATATACAATAAATATAAAATAAATCTTCAGGAAAAATCCTGAAACCCCCCATGTCAAAACACCCATTTCACATTTGGGAATAGCTATGTTTTCTGTAAACAGAACACTGTTCAAATTGCTCTGGACAACGACTTTTAACAACTGAAACTTGGGATGGAGCTGTAGTTCAGGTGGTAGAGAGCTTGCCTAGCATGCATGAAGTCCCAGGTCTGATCCACAGCAACAAATAACTGGATATATTGTCATGTGCCTGCAATTCCAGCCCTTGGGAGGTGGCAGAAAACTGAAGCTTGACTTGGACTTTAAAAAAAGATCACTGAATCACTGTAAAGTCCAAAGTATGCTTTTCTTAAGCTAATAGACATGGCTGATATTGAACAGGAATAAACTGTTAAGAGGATAGCACTCAACATCAAAAAACCTCCACATCAGCTAGCAAACAACACAAGATTAACAGATTAAGCAGCAAAATTGAGACTATAAATGCTACTACATGCTGTTTTATCTCAGATGCACAACTTATCTTCTAACTTGGAAGTTGCAGCCCAGAATCAGGGGGCCTGCTGTAGATTCTTTTATTTTGCATAACAGGATCTGCTTCCAGGTTCAGAAGACCGGAAGTGGGACATCAAGGCAGACCTAATGTCTCACTATCCTAGAGACACCAACTCTCCGGTCTGTGAGGGTTGGACTTCATAGGGCTGGGAGGCTAGGTGGGTTGAGGGGCCCTCCTTTATTTGAAAGTGGATCCCATGAGGAGATGGTTGGCTTGATACTGTAGTGCTCTTTCTGAAAGGAATCATCCAGGGACCGCATGTCACAGGCAAGAATTACTAAGTGACTGCATCGTTCCCGAACAATGAACTCCTGGGTCAGCCTAGCCGGTCACACGCTACTGTCTGCACTGTGCCGCTGCTCCTGTAACCCGGCAGAGAGGGAAACCTCTGGTCCCTCACTGAAGCGAAGCAGAGAGCAGAGTAAGGTACCAGGTCACTCAGTCTCTCCTGACCTTTTAAATTTCCTCTCCATCTCCCAGTCGACTAATATGCTCCCAGCACTGATGGCAGCTAGCTCCTGAACAGTACAATCCAGACTAATTAGGGGCATGAAAAATAAAAGATGAGAAGGGGCTAAAAAGGCAGTGGCCACCTTGATTGGGTTTGTACAACTCCCAGGGATCCAGTACCTGCTGATTTGTGGGGCAGGGGTCACTAGAACTGTGGCTCCTGTCAGTCTAGGCCCAAGCAGGAGGTGTCACCTCCTGGAGCTGCTTCAAACAGAGGTCTGATGAATGGTGCCTTCATGTGTGAGCACTTGCATTACACAGTTTAATTTGAAGAAGGAAGTGAGGTTGCTGTGGGATGGTCTGTATGTTAAATTGCTCTGATTGGTGAATAAATAAAACACTGATTGGCCAGTGGCCAGGCAGGAAGTATAGGTGGGACTAACAGAGAGGAGAATTGGAACAGGAAGGCAGAGAGAGTCACTGCCAGCCACCGCCAGGACAAGCAGCATGTGAAGACGCCGGTAAGCCACAAGCCACGTGGCAAGGTATAGATTTATGGAAATGGATTAATTTAAGCTATAAGAACAGTTAGCAAGAAGCCTGCCACGGCCATACAGTTTGTAAGCAATATAAGTCTCTGTGTTTACTTGGTTGGGTCTGAGCGGCTATGGGACTGGCAGGTGACAGATTTGTCCTGACTGTGGGCAAGGCAGGAAAACTCTAGCTACATGAGGTGCTCAGAGTTCACTTACACTGCAACTTAAGGTCTCCTGAATTCTCATCTCATAAGTGAAAGTGCACAGACAGATGTGACATGCACATGTACCAGTACTAGAGAGGATGGAACAGGTGGACCACCTTAGTTCAAGGCCAGCCTGGTATACACAGGGCCATCCCAAGTCAACAAACAAAAATAAACGACAAAAACAAAAACAAAAAACATAAAAGTGTACAAAGGGAGCCAATTTGAATGTGCTTTGTCAGTTTCCTCTTGAGAATCTTTAGGTCTACTTGGTTGGGTCCTAAGTTGGAGAATGAAGCTCTCTTTCCCTGGAGGAGCCTTACAAAGGACTGGTGTGCCTGGGGAAGGCATCTTTGAAATAGACGGTACTAACTTGTCTTTGCACTCACGCTACACAACACGTCAGATCAGCTTACCCAATACTGCAGGAGTGCTTCAATGGCTCTGAACTCAAACGGCAACGGGTAAGTGACAAGCTGACCGTCTCCAGCCAGCTGTGATGGCAGTTCCCGGAAGAGCCACTGCTCCAGGTTTAAATTCCGATAGTCTAGTATCAGAAGACACTCTGGAGTTATCACAGCCTTCAAATACTGGAAAAGCAACAGAAAAGAATGGATGTGTGTACACACACACACACACACACACACACACACACACAAAACAACATTCATCGAGATGCAAGTTATCAAGCTGGAGGAAAAAGTAAGTAAATTCATAAAACTGAGTTCATTTTACTAATTTTAGACTAAAAGTAAACCAAATCAGTGCTCATTTGGTTTTATAAAAACAAATAATAAAGTTAAGGGATATTTTATAAAGGAAGAAAATTCAAATATATGTAAGTCTTGATAATTATAAGTTGCTCTCAGAACAACTGGAATTACACATAGTTATTATGAGTCCAGCCTGGTGTGGCACATATGTATACCCACAATCCCAGCACCTGGGAGGTGAAGGAGAGCAGATGTTCAAGGACATGCTATACAGCAGTTCATGGCCAGCCTGGTGTATCTGAAACCCTGTCTCAAAATATTCAAACCCACAAAGAGACATCTGCCAAGACATGTACAAGAAAACAGGGAATGAGTGAAAAATTAAGTTCCCTAAAACAGTCGTGTGGAAGGCTGGCAAGGGCCAGTGCCTGTCCGCCAGCACCTGGGAGCTGCCGTCTCAAGATTGCTCTCTGAAGAGAACACAACAAACTGGCAGATCTCCTCACTAAGTCTGTCAACAATGTCACTTTCCCTCTTCTTCTAGGCTGTATGTGGATACCAGCCAAACCAAGGAGGCCTGCTTGCTCTTACTCTGGACATCCTCACTTGTTCTCTCAACCCTCCCACCCAGCCCCTACATACTGCCAATAGTCATGGCTGACTGGCCTGCTCTCCTGGGCCCCAACTCAAGAGGCACGCACAACTAACTTTCTCTAAATTAGATTTTATTTATTTTATTTTATGTGAGTTTTGCCTGCGTGTACATATGTGTACAACCTGTGTGCTTGGTGCCTGTGGAGGTCAGAAGAGGGCATCAGATCACCTGGAATTTGAATTTTGGGTGGCTGTTAACCACTCTGTGGGTGTTGGGAATCAAACCCAGGTCCTCTGCAAGAGTAACAAGTGCACTGCTCTAACCACTGTCCCATCTCTGCAGCCGATTGCTGGAGAGGTTGTATAGTTATGTATCTGTCCATCTATCTGTACAGTGTAGTATATCCGTCATCTAGGTCCCACAGTTACACTCTGTTTAATTTACTTCATCTTATACACATTTATCTATACAAAGATATACATTCTGTTTAGAAGCAGTAGCTACTGATAATAAGAACAAAGATATTTTCTGGAGAAAAAAAATTTTGAGAGCAGATTGTGTTTGTTGTGATTATTTTGATTAAATCTAGATTATGGGACAAAAATCTAATCAAAGACAAATATAAAAAGCAAGCACATGCATATTTCAGGGCCCAACACCTCTGATGGGTTTTGCATTTATTTCCAGACCATAAGCTTTCACAGGTCCAAACAACCGAGGTCCATATTAACTGAATCACTACAGAAATTCAATACATTCAGTTTCTTCTGAGTAGGCAAGTAAAGTACAATTTTAGAAAGTGTTAGATATAAATTTAAACTAAGGTTTCAAAATTTAACAGACATTCCTAGTGTACATGGAGAACCAGATGAAGATAGCCAAGGTTATGTACTATAATTGCACTTAACAGGATACAAATGGAAAAACATCTATTTTATCTGGTGTGGTGGCTTGTGCCTATAATTCCAGCATTGGGGAGGCAGAGGCAATGACCAGGAGGTCAACCTCATCCTCAGCTACATAGCGAGTTTAAGGTAGCCTTGGCCACATAAGGCCCTATATCTTAATAAATACATTTTTTTGTGTGTGTGTAATCCCAGAAACTACAGACTAAATTCAAATACCAATAAAGACCACAGTCAGAATTTTCCCAACACAAATGTTCCCATGCCTGCTGAACATACAATCCATGCAGAACAAGTTCTACTCTTAACAATGCATTCAGTAACAAAAAAAATCCCACTTCCTTCCAACATTTTTCTTTCCTCCCTCCCTCTCCATCTCTTTTTCACAGGCCCTGGCTGTCCTAGAACTTGCTATGTAGACCAGACTGGCCTTGAACTCACCCCTGCCTCTGAGTGCTGGGATTAAAGGCACGATGGCTAGGACTCCCTGGTGAATACAGCAGCGCAGCTCTTACCTCCATCCTCATGATAATCCTGTTGTTCCTGGTAGTGATGCTCATCACGTGCTGAAACCTCAAGTCTCTGGCCTGGAGTGCTAACTCATGGTATAATTCAGTTTTCTTCCTCTCTGTAAGAGAAAGAGAGCAGGTGACACTAATAACCCAAAGAACATGGGCTCCTAGTGTCCCTCCCAGGCCCATCTAAGCAGTTTCCTACTATTATCACAAAGGATTACGTGAGTCTTTAATATCTATTCTTACCTTAAAAGGAGATTCATGCTAACTCAAATTCTCCCTTCTCTTTTATATTTTTCTACAACATTTCACAGCAGCCCATTGGGGATCAACATAAAAACCCCAATCAAGCATGATAAGAACCTACAGCAACAAGTTTTTACTTTTGGACATAGTTTGCCTCTCTGACAGGATGTCATGAATCCCAGTCTGGCCTTGAGCTCCTTACAAAGCCAAGGATGACCTCAAACTTATGATTACAGACATGCAGAACCGTATCCAGTTGTTGCTGGGACTAAATTAGGTATTCTAGCATTCTAGGCAAGCTCTCTATCAACTGAGCTATATCTCCAGCCCACATGAACACATGAACATGAATTTTATTAACCAGATTTTTAGGTTCATTTATTTTATGTATATGAGTGTTCTGCCTACACATATAGATGTGCATCCCATGTCTGATGTCTGTGGAGGTCAGACTGCTGCACGAGATCCCCTGGAATGAGAGTTACTAATGATTGTGAGCCACTGTGTGGGTGCTGAGGACTGAACCTGGGTTCAGTTCTCTCCAAGAACAAGTGCTCTTAGTTGCTGAGCTATTTCTCCAGTCCCTACATTTTCTATTTTTACCACTATAGCATTCAGCTTTGTGAATCTGTGAATGAATGAATTTGGTAATTTATTATTGGACAAATGAAAACCTAGAAAAGGTGATATTCATGGTAGATTCTCCTATCTGCTAAGAATGTAGCAGCTGAGAGAAACTTGTGATAGGCTGGGACAGCAGCATCTGTATTTGCGTCAAACCACACCTCCCACAGGACTGCAAGAAAAAAGCACAGACACAAGGATCTAAGCAAGGATGGGACAGGACCACGGGGCTGCAGGGGAAGGTGACACTGTAGCCACAGGGAAAGCAATACCTAGCTCCATTTTTAGGAGCAGCTGTCCAGAGGTGGGCTGTCACATGACTGCCACCCAGTGCCTTACACCTCCATCTTTCTCACTGCAATGGCAGTGGGGGGGCAGACGGAAAACACACCCCAATTCTACTTTAAACCTGCTTCGTAATGAACAGAAATTGGAGGGCTGTGTAAGGGAGGAACAGCATCTCCACATTCAGCTCTACTCCAAACACCCTGGGACCTCCTTCAACACAGTGGCAAATACAAAGAACTCTGTAGCTAGAGTTTTCCTGCCTGGCACACAGTCAGGACAAATCTTTTTCACCTGCCAGTCCCACAGCCACTCAGACCCAACCAAGCAAACACAGAGACTTATATTGTTTACAAACTGTATGGCCGTGGCAGGCTTCTTGCTAACTGTTCTTATATCTTAAATTAACCATTTCTATAAATCTATACCTTGCCACATGGCTTGTGGCTTACTGGCATCTTGACATGTGGCTTGTCATGGTGGCAGCTGGCAGTGTCTCTGACTCAGCCTTCCACTTCCTAGAATTCTTCTCCTCCTTGTCCCGCCTATACTTCCTCCTGCCTGACTACTGGCCAATCAGTGTTTTATTTACTAACCAATCAGAGCAACACATTTGCCATACAGAACATCCCACAGCAGAACTCTGCACTCTAACACTACAATCTCCAATTGTCCACCAAACTCAGGACTCCATAAAGAGTACTTGATAAAGATACTCACCGAAAGAAGTAACGTTTCCTTCTTTGTCAAACTTTGTCTAAAGATAGATCATAAAAACAAACAATTTCAAATCAGTATATTTATGTTCTGAGATACAGCCTCAAAATTATGAAATGTAGCTATAAATCATATCTGACCTTAAGGTAAATACAGCTGCAGAAGCCAGAAAAAAAAATTCCTCTCCTTTGCTAATATAACTGTCAGCTTTGGACCTCACATCCTCCTCTGCAAATTCATCAGTCAGCAGGCTAGGGAAACCTGAGGTGACTGCAAGGACTTTCTGGCTGAGAAAGGACTTGACAACGGTCCCTGGGTTTCGGACGTCACTTGGTGGAAACATGATGCTTGCCTTTGTTGGCTTTTATCCTTCTCAGTAGACTGGGACCAAGGAGTGGCTGTCTCACAAACCTAAATGTCTTCTCAAAGCTAAGACGTCTCTGGCAGGCCCTGCAGAATGAGTAGAAACGTACAGAAAAGGTGCCTGCAGCAGTCCCAGCACACGAGGTCACATTATTTCTGCTCAGTAGAGGGACACTTTTCTGTACGCTTGTACCAGTCACGGTTGAAGGTGTCAAACATGAAGGGCTGGATTGTTCCATATAAGAAAGTAAACACAATCCACACACCGTCTTGGTGAACACACGCTGGCTTACTGCTTTGGAAACAATGTGGCCTATGTTAGCAGAACCTCAACAAACCCCACACCTCAATCTGCTTCTCATGAGCAAAGGTCTCATCAACAGAAGGGCAGAAGCATCAGGAATGTCAAGGTCAGTCATATATGTCATATCATATATGACTGACCTTGACATATATGATATGACATATATGTCTATATGATATGACAAAAGCTTTGTGTCATATCATATAGACTAGCTTGCCTTAGATTTATTTCTTAAACACATATACTCACTGCTGAAAATAAGGAAATTTGTAAAATTACTTAAATCATGATTTGCCAAATTTTAGAGAAAACTATGCCAATAATAACTTACAAGGTGTCTTTAGTGTTCCTGTAAAACATACCTCCTCTACAACACATATTTTTATGTCTCAAATTTATGTATCATTTTTCCTTAATGGTATCCTTTTCTGAAAGACATCATGTAAAACTGACATTTAAAATGTTTACTCTGTAACCAGCTTACTTTCTCAACTCATTCTTTTCAACAGAATCAGTTGATTGTTCGGTGTTCTTGGGAGAAACTTACTTTGCCTATAAAGAATTTTCTTTCAGTCATCATCTGACTTTATTTTCGTTTGGGGATGGGGGCGCTCACTGTGTGGTCCAAGCAGGCCTCAAACTCAAATTCTTTTGCGTTGGTCTCCTGACCAGCTGGAGTTACACAGACTGGGCTTGATTCTATTGTGGAACCGATCAACTTCACAAAACTGACTAAGAGTAATTACTTTCCAAGTAATTTTGCAGAAATGGGCATGGTGCCTCAGGACTACTTGGGATCTGACGCAGAAAGACTGACATTAGTACAAGGCTAGCCTAGGCTAACCAATGAGTTTTAGCTCAGCCTGGTCAATAGAGTGAGACTGTCTCAAAAATGCAAAGCAAAGCAAAACAAAACAAACCCCAAACAATAAAAAAGAAACAAGCAATTCTGAGATGCTTCTTTTTTTTTTTTTGTTTTGTTTTTTGTTTTTTGAGACAGGGTTTCTCTGTGTAGCTTTGCGCCTTTCCTGGAACTCACTTGGTAGCCCAGGCTGGCCTTGAACTCAGAGATCCACCTGCCTCTGCCTCCCAGTGCTGGGATTAAAGGCGTGTGCCACCACCGCCCGGCCTGAGATGCCTCTTATCTTATACTATCCATAAAGAAAAGTTCTTTTAGCAGGGTGGTGCTGGTGCTGGTGCACGCCTTTAATCCTAGTCCTAGGGCTTGGGAGGGAGAAGTAGATAGGATCTCTGAGTTCCAGGCCAGCCTGGTCAGCTACACAGAGAAACCCTAGCTTGAAAAAACAAACAAAGTTCTTTAGCTGTGCACAGTGGTACACTTCAACCCCAGCACTGGGGAGGCAGGGGCAGGCTGATTCCAAGTGCTCTAGGCCAGCCAGTGAGGCTTCCACAGTGAGACCCTGTCTTTAAGTTCTTTAAGAAGTTAGTATTCATTAAACATAAAGGTTTGTAAAGAATAACACACACTGCATGGTTATTATGTCTGAGGCACCATTTTCAGGATTTTGTGAGTTACTTTCATTCTAAAGTAGTTTTTATAAAGTGGTGTTGTAATTTTTTCTTTTTATGAATGTGTCTGTATGTTTATGTAGGTGCCAGGAATACAGGAGGTGTTAGACCCTGGAGCTGTGGCTAATGTGGTTGTGAGCCATTCAGTTTGGGTGCTGAGAGTGAGATTCAAGTCCCCTGGAAGAGTAGCAGGTGCTTGGCTTTCTCTCCAGCCCCTAAAGCATATTTATTTCTAATTCACAAATGAGCAAATTGAAACACAGTGATGTTATCTCAGCTTCCTTTAATCCTCATGATTACCCAAGGCAGTTTATTCCTAGTTATTAATGAGAAAATCAAGGTATAAGATGTCACAATAACATGTCCAAGTTCCCCAACAGCAAGAGAGCAGCACACTGAGGTTTAAACTCAGGAAGTCTGGCTCAGGTCAAGCACTTATTCTTAAAACTCTTTTGCAAACTATAAAAGCTTACAAAATGAGCTGCAAAAACAATTTGTAATTTTACTTAGGTTACTTTTTGCCACCAAGGGCCTTATTTCTTAAATGTGTTCACGCAACACACACAGATGTGTTATTAATTCATTTAATTCCTCTTGAATCACTTCAGAGGGTTGAGATCACAACCACCCTTCAAGCACGCACTCAAATACTGTACTCTGCTGCCTCTCTAGCATCTTCCAAGTCTCCAAGCTTCCAAGGATTCTAAACAGATTCAGAAAATGTCGAGTGTTCACAAAGGAAGCTTTGGGACTGGGGAATAGAGCTCAGTTGGTAGAGTGCTTGCCTGGCATACAAAAAGTTCAATTCCCAGGACCACATAAAGTAGGTGTGGTGGCAGAGCAAAGAGGACCAGTTCAAGATCACCCCAGACCACGGGGCAAATCTCAAGTCAGCCTAAGTCTCATGAGACCTGTTTCAAGAGGAAACTTCTGCTGCTGATGGGAAACCTTAACATGTACTATATAAACTTTTCATTCTACTGGAAAGGAGAAGTCATTTGAGCAGCCTGTTCTGTACAGCAAGAACCCAGTCATTAATAAAGCTTCAAGAGGACCACTAAACCAATCCCGGGCAGCTGGGGCACTGGCCAAACACAACTCCAATACCTCTGCCAACTATCCAGTCCTGTGAGCTTACTAAGCATAGGAAGTGCTTCTTGCAAGGTACTGGAGGAGGTGCACTCACCACAGCGAACACCTGGGCCACACTGGCTAAAGTCGCTTGAGAGGCATCGGAGGTTCTACACCGGTACACACCACCTAAGAAAAAAAATTACAGAATGAATTTGCCGTGAGCACGACTGGTTTCCCTGACGCTCAACTCCAATCGCACAGTACATGGAACCTTCAGAATGGCTTGCGTTTTGAAACTTTTTCCTACTGGAAACGAAACACTTGTTATGTTGGGACACTGGCTGTTCTCTCTAACTATTCTGCCCTTATTCCTTGCCAGGGCTTCCATGCACTAAAGTCACACAACTTGTTAACTATCTGAGGCCTGTCCTCCTCTATGATTGGAAAGGTCAGAGAGAGCCGAGGTAATCTCAGTGCCTGTCTAATACACACAAGGGTCTGGCCTTTGTCCCAAGCACTGGCAAAAGTAAAAAAAAAATAAAATAAACAAAATGTACATTTGTTTACTGGGGCTGTGTGAGCACTGTGGAAGTCAGAAGTCACATTGCAGGTGTCTATTTTCTCCTCTCACCACGCAAGCTCTAGGGACTTAAGTAAGAAGTGTCAGGATTACTACTCTGGACTTCAATGTTTATCCTAAAAGTTCCTGCACCTTGCAGACCGCTTGGTTCCCAAGCATTGTCAAGGCCTGAAGGAAAAGGCACATAACCAAAAGACTGTGGGGAAGGGGCTGCTGACTGACAGCATCTCATTTTGGAAACTTTTCAAGTACAATTTAAAAAAAAGTACCAGAAGTCGTTGCTCTGTTAGGACTGTTTGTTTCTGAGCAGAAGCTGTACTCACATTTGTGGAAACACTTTCTTCACATTTCACCATTGGGTGACAGAAGTCCCAACAGCAAAGACTTCTTTCTTCCTTCTCCCATAGCTCCCCTGGCTGTCTGCTCACACAGTCTAAGAGCAGACTTCATCAAGGGTGAACGCTTACCACTGGCTTGATTCTTCAACTTCACTTCTAGGAATTCCCTATCCTATACCAGGGCAACTGTGCAATTGTATAAACGTGCCCAGGAGAGAAATTAACAAAATAAACAGAACTAGTAACATCCCAATCTTGCTACTCGTGGTAGCTCATGCCACCCAGCTTCGAGTTTGGTCTGGGCTCCACAGTGAGTTTGTTCCAAGACAACCTGGGCTAGAGACACCCTGTCTCAAAACAAGCAAAATAAATAAATGAATAAATAAATAAATAAATAAAATAAAAACCCAACCTAACAGAATTCTGTAACATGAAAGCATATGGAGGCAAAAAGGCCAACAGGAGGGGTGGGGGGTGTCGAGAAAAAGTACGTATAAAAGTACCGTCACGAAACCCATTGCTGAGCAGATGGCTCGGCCCGCAAAAACGCCCGTCGCCAAGCTTTACGACCCGAGTTCGATCCAGGAGAGAACTGACTCTGGCAAGCTGTCCTCTGACCTCCACACACAAACCCAGAGAAAGGCACACGCACGCCCGAACAACACTTAAACGCTAAAATTAAAAACAACAACAACAACAACAAAACCAAAAGCAGCCTAACGCTTCTAACTGCAGAATTCTGAAGGCTGAGACAGGAGGACCGCTGCCAGTTCGCGGCCAGCCTGGGCTAGCTACACAGAGA